AAAAAAAAAAAAAAAAAAACAAAAAAAAAACAAATAACAAATGGGCTGAGGAAGAAATCAGGGAAACAACACCCTCCACAATAGCCACAAATATAAAATATCTTGGGGTAACTCTAACTAAGCAAGTAAATGACCTATATGAGAAAAGCTCCAAGCTTTTGAAAAAGAAAATTAAAGCAGATATTAGATTATGGAAAGATCTCCCATGCTCATGGATCAGTAGGATTGACATAGTAAAAATGGCCATCCTACCAAAAGCAATCTACAGATTCAATGCAATCCCCATCAAAATTCCAACACATTTTTTACTGTCTTTAAATTTATTTTTTGTCCATTGATATATTTATCTTCCCAAAATCTGAGTCTAGATTTTAGACTTAATTTCCTTTTCTCTAGAAAATATATTTTAGATTATTATTATTATCATTATTAAATTTGAGGCAGGTTCTCATTATGTAGCTCTGGCTGGCCTGAAACTATTAGAACATTCTGGCCTTGAATTCACAGGGATCCCTCTACCTCTGCCTCTTGAGTGTATCACCATGCCCCAGCAAGGTTCATGTTTAAAATTAATTGACTACATTTACTCTAGGAAAAAACGTAACCAAAGTTTAGAAATGAAATAAGTAAGCAATGAGTTACTTTATTAACTTTGTTTAAAATGCTTAGTTGTCATTTTAAGTTGAATTCCTATGTATGTGAATTAAGAAAAAGTATCTACAGATACTAAACCATTCTCTTCTCAGAGCATATTTTCAATTGAGGTTTTCATCTTACTTTTTGTAAGTAAGAGGGCTTTTGAGATTGACAGGTTTCTTTCAAAAGTGCAAGTTCAAATGTACTGGGTTGAGGTATTCCATCATATGAACATTTGTACACATACACCCAAGTCTGAATTATTACTATAGCTTTTCACGCTGACTTAATTCATTCACTAGTGTCCATTGGCCACACACAATGTACCATGTAATACATTAGCTGCTGTTAAAAGATAAAACTATTGTTGTAAACAGGTTGTTTGGAAAACAAAGCAACAGATAATCAAGTAATAGTTTGTATTTGGGGAATTTCATGGGTCTGATAGAGAGGGGTGTATTAAATCTGTAAGAGGGAAGACACGATGCCCATTTATGATGACAAGGGATGACACCATAGAGGAGTGTCTTTTGGAAACTGAGTTAAAGGGTTGTTAGTATTTCAACATCAGACATTACCCTTGAAGGGGAGGTAATAACACAAGTTCTCCAGTGAGAAAGGTCGGCACTTACTTGAAGAAGAGCAAGGATTCCTGACTTCCAGAGCGTAGTGTAGGAAGTAATGGAAAAAAAGCTGCAGAGTGAGAGGCGGCCGATCCCAGGCTAAGATAATCACACCAACACTGGTGGGAGACAGCTGCACATCCAACCTGCAGATGTGGGATGAGAAGGAAGGAAGCAATTTCCACATCATCTTTTTCAAATGAGACTGCTAGCCAGTGTGTCCATGCATAGCTATTAAAACACATAGAGAAGGAGAGGTCGATAAAATGGCAAAGGATTGTGACCCTGAAATGGAAACTAGCTTTTAACCCTATCTTCCTCATCCAACTCTGCTGAGAGCCATCCCCAGTGGTGGATGGGTCCTACAGAGGGTGTAAGGAGTTGGCAAGGGAAGGAAATGAGCCAGGCCATGGTGGTCAAGAGAATCTTGCAGCCTGAATAACTAGCAGCTAGAGTATTTCTTTATTTATACTGAATTTACTAAGCAGGGATACATCCATAATGTTCCAAAAAATAGATCATATCATTTTTGTTTTTGGACACGTGTTTCACTTCCTTTTGCTCATCTTTTAGTCATTATTAATAAACTATGACAGAACAGAGTTATCATTTACAATCATTTTTCCTCAAGTTTTGACATCATTAATAAACAGAGTTATCATTCTTAATCATTAGCCCCATAACCCAATTTTTAAGAATCTAGAGGTGTATGACAGCCTGTTCTCAGGCTGGGTGCTTTGGTTGCTTCAAGAACACTAGACCAAAACAAAATCTTCAACCACCCTGGGCATTTTGCCATGTCCCAAGCAGTGTATTATTAACTCTTAGTGGTCAGAGTGCCCAGGAAAAATCCTCAGGCCAAAGCTGCTGCAGTTATTATTCAAATTCTGACATAATATAATCAATGTTCACATTTATATCTTTATAGAATTTGTCTATATGTCTAATTCTGGCATTCTGTTGTTCCTTGGTCATATGACATTACAGTGGCTCTGTATGAGGTAACTTTTCTAAGAAATTATTTGACAGAAGACTTTGCTCTGAAAATGACAGCTGTTGCCATTTCAAACCTGGACACATCCTTGACTTCCAATATACTGTCTCTTAGAATTTTACATGAGTAGGTTTCTCCTACTGCTTCTAGCAGAATCGCATGTATTTATTCTTATCTGATGTCTCAAGCGTGGATATTCATAAACTTCTGAGAGTCTCATCCCTGAGTGGTTCCCAGTAGCATCATCCTTTCTGTATTGCAGTTCTGCATTTTCTTAAGTGTGCCCTTCATGTTTTTCCAGCTCTTCCTCTCAGTTTCCCTAGTTACCAGAATTATGTAACTCTATAGATTTCTTTATATGTCTCAATTCTCCTCAAGATGCCAAGGACTTACTATTCTCTCTTTACCAAATAAATGTCTTCTGCTATTTTTAACTTACATTATTGATTCTCAAACTAAATTTCTTTGACTTAAAAATGTGAGATATAAGGAGCAAGGATACAATACCAAACACTGCTACACTTCAGGAATAAATGCTGTTGGTGTGTCAGATTGAGATTAGTAAAGAAATACTTTGGTACAAATTAAATTCATTTAAAAATCCAGCAAACATACCACTCCCAGGCATATACCCAAAGAACACTCCACCATACCACACGGACACTTGCTCAGCGATGTTCACAGCAGCTTTATTCATAATAGCCCCAAACTAGAAGCAACTTAGATAACCCTCCACTGAAGAATGGATAAAGAAAATGTGATACATTTACACGATGGAGTATTACTCAGCTGCTAAAAACAATGACATCAGGAAATTTTCTGGTAAATGGATGAAACTAGAAAAGATCATCCCTGAGTGATGTAACCCAGACCCAGAAAGATAAACATGACAGGTGCCTAGTCCAATTGTCATCAGAGAGGCTTCACCCAGCAACTGATGGAAACAGATGCAGAGACCCACAGCCAAACATGAGGTGGAGCTCAGGGAATCCTGTGGAAGAGGGGGAGGAAGGACTGTAGGAGTCAGTGGTGTCTGGGGCACCACAAGAAAACCCACAGAACCAACTAACCTGTACTCATAGGGGCTCACAGAGACTGAGCTGACAACCAGGGAGCCTGCCAGGAACTGACCTAGGCCCTCCACATATATGTGGCAGTTGTGCAACTTGGTTTCCATGTGAGACTCGTAGCAGTGGGAGCAGGGGCTGTCTCTGACTGTGTTGCCTGCTTTGGGGACCCATTCCCCCCACTGGATTGCCTCATTCAGCCTTAGTAGAAGAGGAGGTGTCGTCTCACTGTGACCTGAAATACCATGGCTCCACCTGTATCGAAGAGAAACAGTGGAGGAGAGGATGGGGTGGGAGTGGGCAACTGGGAAGAGGGGAGGAAAAGGAAACTTTGGTTGGGATTTAAATAAATAAATAGATAAATAAATAAACAAACAAAATAGTTCTGTTCACATACACACACACACACACAAAATCCAGCCAATGAGATCTTGAAAAACACCAGAAATATCATATTGCCTTTTAAAGCCAACTTACTTAGGAGAGTATAAGGTTTGAGCACTATAACATATACTCATATTGAAAACAAATTTCTATAATAATTCTCTTTAAGATGATCTTTGTATCACCTACAACTCTAGGGCAAGAGCTGAGTGTCTATTCTAAATGTCCATTCATAAAGAAAAATGCATCTATCGTATATTAGACAGGAATAATTAATGGGTAAATTTACCATATTTTATGAATAATGACTTATTTCAAATTTAACATGTTGATAATTTAATAAGGTTTACTCTTAATGTGTTCACATCCTCTACCAGTGACGTTTTGTGTTTTGTGTCTTCCAGCACCTCCAGTTTTCATACAAGAACCTTCTGATGTGTCCGTAGAAATTGGTTCCAATGTGACATTACCTTGTTACGTCCAGGGTTATCCAGAGCCAAAGATCAAATGGCGAAGATTGGACAACATGCCAGTTTTCTCAAGACCCTTTTCAGTTAGTTCCATCAGCCAACTGAGAACAGGCGCTCTTTTTATTTCAAGTAGGTTAAAGGATGTATATGTGCTTGTGTGTGTGTGTGTGTATAAGAACAATGATTGGGTATATATATATATATATATATATATATATATATATATATATATATATATATATACACACATTGTTTTCTACATATGTATTTTTTGTTTTTACCTAGTTTGCTTTTTTATTTTTCTTGTTTTAAAACAAAGATTCAGTATGGTAGCTCAGAAGGGCTTTTGACCCTTGATCAACTCTTCTCAGCCTACTGTGTGCCACCAGGACAGGCTATATTACGTACAAATATGTATGTTCATATTTTGCTAGTAGATTAAACTGGACATGCTTGGTTACAATATGCATCAGATTAAAATCATTCCTGTATTTGAAAACCTTATTTTGGTTTCCTTATTGCTTACAAGCTAAGAACTACACTTTAAAGGCTTTGGCTTCATCCTCCTGACCATGCCCCCCAGCTTGTTACTGTTACCCCAACTGCTCCCAATACTGTCTTTAGCTGCACATCCTCCATGATGCTCTTCATGATCTTGGTAAACAATTCTATGCATTTGTTCTGATGACATAATAAAAATTACATCAATATCCAACACGCAGTAAAAAGAAGGATGAGAAAAACAACTTGTATTAAAAATACATGTTTTTACATGTGGATACTTGGTGTCTCTACAGCATGCATGTGAGTTTATACCCCTTCACTGAGGACCCCACAGTTCAGTGCGGAATATAGCATCTGGTAGTTTTTCTAGCTAGATGGATAGCTATGTCTTCTCCTTATGTGGAGTTAGGCTTACATGATTATAAATATATTTCAAATCTACACGTTTCTAGTGGAGCCTTCATAATTCTTGTCAGGCTTGGGGCACTATTTCTCTATGAATCTACTCTGTGTATTATCTCTCTAGTTTTTTATTCCCTAAATGCAAACAGTTTCTGTCCATTACTGGGGCAACTAAACCATGTCCCCTACAAACAGCGTAAGTGTACCCAGGCTGGCATAGCTTCCTACTCTTTGAAGAGATCCTGCTTTCCTTTAAGCTCTGCTTTTGATTTATCATTTACCACGAGTGGACAGCTCTTCGTGTCTTCTACCTGCTCTTTTTTTTTTTTTAAATTTGGAGATTATAATTAAATTATGACATTTCTCCCTTCCCTTTCCTCCCTCCACCCCACCCCTCATATATCCCTCTCCTCTCTCCCTCAAGTTCATGGCATCCTTTTTTTTTTTTTAGCTAATTGTTATTGCATGCATGCATGTATATGGATATACATATATACTCCTAAATATAACCTGTTCGGGCCATATAATGTTGCCTATATGGATATTTGGCACTAGACAACCAGTTGGTGTGCTCTTCCCTGGAAGCTCTCCTGTTCCCAGCTTTCCTCACTTGCCAATGGTTCTTTGTGTACAGTTGAGGCCTGATAGGCTCTCCTCTGTCCAATCTTGCATGTTTGTTGGTGTCACCCTTCTCAGCCCATATTTGGGCAGTCATGTCGTTGAGACTTTATGTCCAGATGCTCTTCAAACTATACTTAGGATCTTACCTCCACCGTGAATTTCTAACTCTCCCATGTATGATCATCCAGTCATTCCTGTCCATGCTCCCACAGCTCATCATATAAAGCTCATAGAGAATTTGCTACCCTCCTGGGTTGGCTGAGTTCGTTGTCTCCTTCCCTAGAAGGGAGTGGCCAGAAGGTGCTCACGTGATTTCTGTCACAGATCTCAGCACCGTCCTTGGTGCACTGTCAAGGTTTCATAACGTTCCTGAGTGAATAAACACGTTCTTCTTTCTAGATCTGTGGGCAAGTGATAAAGGAACATATATCTGTGAAGCTGAAAACCAGTTTGGAAAAATACAGTCCCAAGCAACCATAACAGTGACAGGACTTGGTAAGATGAATTAACTTTCTAGAGGCGATGTTCTTCAAAAGATTCAGACCTCTTTGATGTTGATGATGCCATCCCTTCCTTGCATGTGGCAGTTTTTATTTATTCTAAAGCCAGGTAGATGTTTGTGTCCCTAAGGCATATTTCATACAATGTTACAACTATAAATAACTTAAAGAGCATCTTCTCCAGGCTCCTCATCTTCTATTTCATTATTGGTCATTTTAAAATGTGCGCACACGTGCATACATACACACACAACACATGTGCACATACACATAAACAAATTGTGTTTTTGATGGCTTTTGACTTAAGTTTATCACTTTAGTTCACATAGAATTGTGTTTATGAGTTGTGAAGTGAGAATAGAATACAACTTATTTCCAAGTGGTGAGGTATTTGATTCAATATATTTTATTGAATAGTCATATCTGACAGGTTAAACCATTTATTCTCATACTGAATTTATATTTCCACATCTATTCCTTGGAATTGTTTTTTTCCTGGTATTATATAGTTCAAATTATTACAGTCTTAAATGTGATTTTAAATACTTGACTGCATGTATCTCATTAATACTGTTTCATAGAATTTTCTGTGTGTCTTCATTCATCTGTCTATACCAACATTTTTGAGTAGTATCTGTTAAGGATTTTGTGGTCATTTCTCATATTTTGTTTTGTTAAATTCTAGGAAAGCATAATTTTGCCATGCTTCTTTACTATTCCATCTCAGCAAATTCACCTTGGTTTAACTTGCCTGTGCTATTGTGGCAGGCTCCTGATGATCCCTCCTGTACCTAGTCTCTTCTGTTTCTGGCTGTTTCCACGAGAGTGAGTTCTGATGATTCTGTGTCTCCACTCACAAGCACTCCCAGATACTCTCCATCTTAATGTGTAGCTGCGAGCATCTTGCCTTGACATTGCTGGCCTTTTGTATGTAGGCTTTCCTCTTTCCTCGTGATATTTCTACAGGACCACCTACGCTCCCCCAATTCCTTCTGCCTAGATGGATCTGTTCCTTCCACATTCAAGCTCTTTTCCATTTCACTTTAAAGTTCTGTTCCTGAAAACTCCATTTTTAAACAACGTGATTTGTAGTCATCTTGCTTATAGTAATCCCACCACCACCCCTTTTTGGATGAAGCTGAGTGTTCTTTCTTTGATGTAGTTGCCCCACTTATTGGCATCAGCCCCTCTGTGGCTAATGTTATTGAAGGACAGCAGCTAACTCTGCCTTGTACGCTGTTGGCTGGAAATCCCATCCCAGAACGGCGGTGGATGAAGAACTCGGCCATGGTAATATATGCCTTTTTATTTATTTTCTCCTAAGAATTAATGCATTACATCACCAACACTGAAAGCTTGATTTCATAAACATGTAAACATGTTTTAAAAGTATACCAAAGCTCTTCTTGAAGAAAAGATTTATTTCATTTTTGTTTGTTTGTTTATTTAGTGTGTGTGTGTGTGTGTGTGTGTAAAAGTCCAAAAGAAGGTGCCAGATCTCTGGAGAGAGACTTCCAAGCAGTTTGGAAACCACCTTACATGGGTTTTGAGAATCAAACTTAGCTGCCTCTGCAAGAACAGTGCTCTTTTTTTTTTTTTTGTTTGTTTGTTTTGTTTTTTTGAGATAGGATTTCTCCATGTAGTTTTGGTGGCTGTCCTGGATCTTGCTCTGTAGACCAGGCTGGCCTTGAACTCACAGTGATCCACCAGGCTCTGCCTCCTGAGTGCTGGGATTAAAGACGTGTGCCACTGCCGCCCAGCAAGAGCAGCGCTCTTTACTGCTGATCCATCTCTCTAGCTCCAAGGGCTTTCCTTGTTTGTTCCTATGTTCATGCCATTTATATTATCTGAAGCTTTAATTTTTAAGAAATAATTGGTAGTATAATTTTTATAATTTCACATTAAATTTAATGTTACTAATAAACTGCATTCAGAATATGTAAAAAATTTAAGCTAGTAATATTTGCTCAGTACTTAAATATTTTATACCATTCTGTGTAGAACATTATGAAATAGTGGTATTCCTTTAAATATTAATATTCTTTTACTGCTCTTTTCTATGTTGAGCTTTAAATTTCTTTTTCAATGGGTTATTTTAGGAAGGTAGATCCCTAGCATATTACTGAATGTCAGTATATAATTTTTAATTAGGATAGGATATGGGCAGCATTTCAGTTGTATGAAAAATGTCCATAAATGTGTCCTTTATTGAGACAGAACTTCATCTAGTGCAGACCACTTCCCCTGTTTTCCAGAGAATCTAGACTCACTGTCTTCTAGGAGGACTCATTAGAAGTGAATTGCCTCCATATGAGGGATTACAAGCTTACTCATATTTACATAAAAATTTGAGGAAAAACAGAACGCCTGGTGGACAAATAAATGCCCTTAGAGATGAAGCTAGCTGGGCACTAATGTAAAATGGTACAGGTTTAGAAATAATCACGTGTATGCTAAAATATTGTCAGCCTTCTCTGGCATGATTTCTGCATCATACTGTGTCCACTGCTGTTTGAACCTGGCAGCTGGTAGGGATGGGTGCTAAGATGAAGTACTCCCTTGGTGTAAATAAATGCCTGCGTGTCAGAACGAAAATATCAAAGAGCTTGCTAGTGGTTGATGAAACCTTCCTGGAGAAAACAGTTTCATCTAAAAGAAAAAAAACTATGAGTGAAATGTGAGTCCTGAGCAGTAGAACAGATACAAACACCAGATCAGTGGTATCTCTTTTATCCCTTTTCAGGGATGTGCATAACTCTCTGACAGCAAATCATAGGTACAATTCTAGAGAGGTATTAGGATTGAATATGGCTGATAAATTCTTAAGAACATTTTGTGCCGATCATTTTTTTTAACTGAAGGATGCTAAAAATCCCAATTTGCTCTCTAATACATTTAATAATTCAGTTGAGAAAAACAAACAGATCTGATTTATGCTTAGACAAAATTTTGCCTTTTCTAATTAAAACTAAATGACTTTTTTTTTATTATTCCTTTGAAAGTTGGTACAAAACCCTTACATAACTGTGCGCAGCGATGGGAGCCTCCATATTGAAAGAGTTCGGCTTCAGGATGGAGGCGAATATACTTGTGTGGCCAGTAATGTTGCTGGAACCAATAACAAAACCACCTCTGTGGCCGTGCATGGTAAGAAAGACCTAACATAATTGTTTCCAAACCTTGTTCAAAACAGGGTTCATAGGTTTTAATCAGACAACTCTGGTTCTCTAATTACAAGAAGGAGAGCTTTCTCCTAATTGTTATTTTATATTTCTTGAACAAGCTCTACATTGTTAATACTGTTTCCAGATTTCCCTTCCCTATGTACACAAAAAGACATTCTAGGGAGTCACCAGCCAAGTCTGGCCAAGGGCTTTTGTATGTGGTTTCTTAATTGATAAAAGTGAATTCAGCTCTCAAAGAATCATGTTTAAAAATAAATTTTAATTTCAGGCAAGCTGAACTTATTGTACCATCCAAATTGCCTTAAATTGCCTCTTTTTTTCCAAACATGTCCTTACTAATGACCCCTCTGTGTTGGAGCTAAGAAATGACCTAAGCTTTGCTAAAGGTCATTTCATGTGTCATGTGTTCCAAACAATCTTTTTTGCATGCTAAATAATTTAAAGGTCACAAATAAGAAAATCCAGAGGCAGAGGCAGCCTTTTTTTCTACTTGTCACAATTACCAGGATTTTTTTTTTAAAAAAAGTCCAAATAAAAATGGACACCTTCATAGTTTGAGTAATTTTCCTAATATTTTATATTTGTTTTTAAGAGCTTGCTGTATTATTTTTATGATGTAATATTAAACAGATTTATATACAACAAATGAATGTCTTGGGAGGAAAGGAGCAGAGAATACTTGGTTTCATTCATTTACTCAGTCTTTATTTGTAACATGAATTGGGAACTCTACCAGCTCACACGTTTTGTTTTGTCTGTTGGAAGTTCCAGTGACTGTAAACCATCTCCTTCTATAGGATCCTGCTCCACCACCTCTTCCAGCTGTGTGCCAATAGCCACTGACATCACTTGACATGTTCATGAGAGGTTTCAAAGAAACACCCTCAGATAATTTAAATTTCATTGTCGCCTCAATTAACAAAGGCATGTCAGGCTGCATGCCATTGTGTGACTATTTTTAAAGAACAGAGCACAGGTTTCCTGTAGGGTGCTGTGGACTGGCTTCAGGATGCAGCATTGGAACACCCTCATGTCATCTCCCGCTTCCCCCTAGTGATTGCCTAGGCAGTTGTGAGAAGGCTGCAGAGCCCAGATTTTCATTTGCAGGGAGGAGTGATAGGATCAGTCCCGTGTGTGCTGTATCAGAGAGGCGAGAGAGGACAGACAACCCAGTGACCTGATTTACCGAGACACACAGCATTTTACTGATTAACAGCTAAGAGGCCATTGCTTCAGGTTAACTCTTTGTTCGTTCTTTGTCATATCCGCTTTTAGGAATAACTATGAGAGGTTGGTTCTAAAAGGAAGGAATAGTTACTAGAACCAATTCTAAAAAGATGACATAAAAAAAGGAAGGAATCAAATATAAATGCAGATGAAAAGAACAAAACTTAATTGTCACATTGATTACGTAGACTCATGATCTGGAGAGAAGCCGCTCCTCCACACCCAGATGTCATCAAGCTTCAAAACTGACCAAAACTTGCAACTTTTCTTCACTACTGTCTAACTTAATACGGCTTTAAAAACATGACATTCCCTTATGTTGCCACAAATTGACAGCATATTTGAGAGTTGCGTACTCGGTCAGGATCCTGGAAATTAAATTTCTTGCTTTCATGAGTAGCTCGATGTTCTCGTTTAGAGCTGGATACTTGCTGCCAAGTCTTTAAGACAAAATTAGCTAAAGACTAATGCCAGCCATAGGAAAGTATGAGAGCATAGGACACATCATTTCAGCCTTCCAAGGAGCTTTTGCACTGGGGGGGTCTGTGGTATCTTCTGTTCTAGCGAATTTCTATTCCAGGGTAGTATGACATTTCTGGAAAATTCTGACTTTAAGCAAGAAATGTGGTGAGCAATTGAGCTCCAGGGAAGAGTTCTAGTCTCATCTTCCCACAGGATACAATGGAAAGATCTGAAAATACCAGACTTCCATTGTGTTTGTTTTGTTAGAACATATTCATGTATGGAAGCCTTCATCATGATTATTATTTTGAGGATACTATGTATGGGTCATGTTGTTGTGTATTGGTTCTGACTAAGAACAAAGGGAACCGAGCAAACTCTTGGTTTTCCTCTTCCTTTCATGGCTGCTCATGTGCTGCTATGTTTTCCCTGGCTTCCTAAAGGTAAAGGCATGCTATTCTTTTCTTTTCTTTTTTTCATTTTACATACCAACTACAGTTCCTCCTCCCTAGCCTCCTCCCACTACTCCACCACCACCACCTCCATCCATTCCTTGGAGAGAGTAAGGCTTCCCATGGGGAGTCAACAAAGCCTGGCTTATCAAATTGAGTCAAGACTAAGCCCCTCCCCTCTGCATCAAGGCTGAGGGAGGTATCCCACCTTAGGGAATGGAAGGCATGCTATTCTTAACTGGAGAATGTTGCCTTGTTTATCATTTTAACATCTCTCTAGCTTTACTAAATTCCTTTTAAGAAGTCTTCCTTTTCATCAGTTAAATTTAGTCAAGTACTGACTGAGTGGCTCTTGTGGACATCAGGTACGTTTACTAAGTGGTGGCTAAGCAGCTCATTTATTTGGAGGTGGGCTTCCATCAGCTCACTGAAGCTTAATGGGTAGTGGACAGTAACCAAAGAGGGATTCCCAAGATATATGTATAACCGTGAGAGTTATTATCTACCTTGAATTTTCAGGAAATGGTTGATTTTATTCAGTCTTTTTGTGTTTTCTTTAGAGAGGTCACCATATTAGACATCCCTTCACACTCAGTTTTAAGCTTTTATTAGATCTGTGCAGATTGTACTTATTGTATTCTTTTGCCATATATTCCCCTACTAAGATTATGTTAAGTTGACTTTTTTCATAAACATTAAGAATATATTGAAAATGTTCATAAAATTATGTTAAGTTGCCTTTTTTCATAAACATTAAGAATATATTGAAAATGTTCAGTTGTAAGTATATGATACTAAATGGGAGAAAAGGTGTTCACATGCCAGCCTTCCTTCTATCTCCAGTTCTGCCAACCATCCAGCACGGGCAGCAGGTACTCAGCACAATTGAAGGCATTCCAGTCACTTTACCATGCAAAGCAAGTGGGATTCCCAAGCCATCTATCACCTGGTCAAAGGTAAATTACAGATCTAGTGGCATCCCCTGAAATACAGTGGGTGGGGTGACTTGCAGAGTTACCTCTTGAAGCTTCGGCAGGACAGTAAGAGAGGGAGACTCAGGAGGGCACGAAGTTAAACCAGGCTTTCACTGAGCTGGCTTCTTCGCAGCTGGCATGAAGTTTCAGCGCACTGGATGTCCTCCAAGGAATCACATGGATGTGTCTCAGAAGGATCCCTCTGATGGGTAGGAAGTGGGATGCTGGTCCAGGACCTGTGCCTCCCAGAGGTGCTAACACCTCTGCGTACTTGGCTGTCCTGCCTGTAAAAGGTGGAGACTGTGAGAAACACAGGCGTTGTGTGGAGCTGCCCACTGGGGCTGCTGTGCAATCAAGAGGGCCAAGGGGAGGTGACCAGGAGGACTCTGCTACAGATGTAAACTGTTCAGAACAGTTCGTGGATACAGCCTTTCCTAGAGTAGTATTCTAGGAAATACTACTATGTAGTATTGTCGTGTTATTAATGTGCTTCAAGCATCTGGTGGGTAACTGCATCAAAGACATTTTAAGGTCTCTTCCCAGGGCTAGTGATGCATGGATTCCATGTATGAACGAAGAGTGTTGGACATCTCTACAAATTCATGTAGTCCCTCTACATTCCTGTTGTGTGGTCGAGCTTTTGCTAGTGTTCTGTATTGATGAAACCCTAATTTACAATGGTCACAAAGGGGATAATATTTCCAAAAAATTAACTTAAATCTTAAGAGATAAAATGTACTATAAAATCATGACGGAATAATAGAATGCACTATCATATAACGAGAACCACCAAACGGTTTGTCATTCCATCTGATTTTGTCATCTAAAAATCTATGAAATATGGAGAAGTTGATGCTATCGTGTATATAACATCTATATACCAATTTTATGGCCTGGACACAAAATTACAATAGTGAAGTTATGTCTCAAACTGCACAGCACCTGGCACCTTGCAGAAATGTGCCGCTTTAAGGAAAATGCAAGAATCGAGATCTTCCCAAGTGCTCTAGCCAAAGAGAAGATAAGAATTTGGACTCAAGGGTCTCACTTCTGGGGTTCTTAGGCAAGCTCACCTCTTGACTGACTTAGTGATTTGGGGTGAGTTCCTCTCTTGTCTCTGTGCAGTAGGACTCTGAGTTAGAAACTGGAGGGCCCAGCAGTTTCTAAGATTATGTGAGTGTTAAAACACTTAATTCAGATGAGATACAAGATTGTCTTGCCAGCGTGCACAGTGATGGTTGTGGTGGTGCCATTCACCTCTGCTGTGGTCATGGTATCCTTGTCCTTTAGGTAGCTGTACAGTAGAGGAGAAATGGCTTGGGATGGAGAAATACCACTTTTAGTGCATCTGCTTGTCTAATTTCTCTTACAAACGACTCCCTTCTAATTAGCCCTTTTCAAACCTAGTTTTTCACCCCTTGGAGGTATTTTCCTCTGTCTTCCTCATCTAAAGAAAGCGATTCCTTTATTATCTTTTAAAAAAACACACAAAAACATTTATGCGTTGTTGTGTTTATAGAAAGGAGAGCTGATTTCAACTGGCAGCGCCAAGTTTTCCGCAGGGGCCGACGGGAGTCTGTATGTGGTGTCACCAGGAAGCGAGGAGAGTGGAGAATATATCTGTACAGCCACCAACGCAGCCGGCTATGCCAAGAGGAAAGTGCAGCTGACTGTCTATGGTGAGAGCCACCCAAGGGAGGTGTTCCTTTGAAACAGCCTATGCATACCAGAGCTCATAATTTCTTCCATAGTAAGGTACCCGAAGGTTGCACCCTAAAGTGCACAAAGACCACACTTCTCTTCTCACTGCCAACCAAACCACCTCTGCTGAGATTCTGATTTGCAGGGAAGTCATTGTATAACCTTTCGGAAAACTTCCATGCTATTTTCCCAAGAAGTATGCTTACCACATCCAACTTTTTGCAGGGACAGCAGTTAGTTAAAAGTCCATATGGAGCCAAGCCTTGGCTGCGTCTTGGGTAGCAACCTTCTGCTCCAGGAATTGCTGCTCCTCTGGGCAGACCTGAGGACATCTCAGTTGACCTCTCCATGGTGTGCTGAGAGGAGTTACTGAAGCTTGCTCCTCCTTTCATTTTCGTTCCCGCTATAAATGTGTTCATAGGGAGTTTTAGGTATACCCCAAATCTTGGGACTCAACATCTTCTTGTAAATTACTTAAGAGCATTAAAATCTATGTTTTAACGTAAATGAAACACTTTGTTTTCAACTCACTGTTTCCCCTTCTACATCCTGTGTTTATTTTAGTAAGACCCAGAGTGTTTGGGGACCAAAGAGGACTGTCCCAGGATAAGCCTGTGGAGATCTCTGTCCTGGCTGGGGAAGAGGTGACACTTCCCTGTGAAGCTAAGAGCTTACCCCCGCCCATCATTACCTGGGCCAAAGACAGCCAACTCATCTCTCCGTTTTCTCCAAGGTAGGAGATCTGGGGTGAACAGCCACAGATTGAGACTGCTGGGATGATACCTGTTAAGCCTTGCAAATGTATCAAAACGTAACTTTTACAGTTGAGCTAATTCACATGCCCATCTGAGTTATGTATACCTTACACATCATTTTCCAAGGTCGTAAATACTAACACAGCTTTGCCACACTTCCCATGGGTGCATTTACTAGGTAGTTACTGAAATGGAGCAGATCTGTGTGGGGGTTTCTCTCTGCCCTGTGTGCAGCACACAGAATTCTGTTGCTCCCAGAGGCAGTAAAAACACAACAGGAACTGTCAGATACAGAACTCGACTTTCATTAGTTGGTTTTGTAAACCTTTTTGATTAAATTCATCCATAAGTAAGGCCTATTGAGATGATGTAATTTATAGGCTCAGTGACACAGCAAGAATAATACCAGGGCTTTAGGACACAAGGATCGTTGCCATCTAGATACAAGTTTAAACTTATCTTTGTCACCTAAAGCTGACCTAAATGTTTGGCATTTTTTTCCCATGGGACACTTCAGAATTTCATGTCATTTCTTTGTGCAGTGGGATAACATTTACCTGAGAGAATTCTGTGAGATAATGGGCTGGAGAGATGGTTCAGTGGTTAAGAGCACTTGCTTCTCTTGCAAAGGACCCAGGTTCAATTCCCATAGCCCACATGGCAGCTCATAAGCATCTGTAACTCTAGTTCAGGAGACCTGCCGCAAACTTCTGATCTCTGTCGATGCTACACACATGGTGCACACACATACATTCCAACAGTCGTGCACATAAAATAAAAATAAATAATTCTAAAAATGAATGATAGCTGTTCACTACCATGTTAGGCTTGTTGGCATATAATTGTGAAGCCATGAATTTATATGAGTGTACTTTTCTATTACTGATGAGAAAAATTAATAGGAACAACTTTGCACAATTTTACTCTTTGTTTGAAAGAATTTTACTGAAAATCATAAAGTAAAATATAGAATGTTACTTATAAAACAATTCCATTGTATCTTTCCTCAGTCAGGATGTCTTTTCCTTCCTTCACTGTGCAAATTTTCATTTTTGAGTAGCCCCGAAAACAGCTTTTGTGGTTTCAATTTTGTTTTTCTTATCTGTTTTTAATTTGTTCTTCTGACATATACTATATTATTACTATTTTACTCCTTGCTTTATTATATTACATGCATTCACTATTACACATGTAGAGTCCGCGCGTATTCAATTTAACAAGCCTACGTGTAGTCTACCTTTTATTTAACTATTACCTTCCTTGTAGATGCTGTAGGCTGCTTATGGTTTCTTGTGGATTGCTTTCTTTTCACAAGTCTTTTCAGTGAAAACCTTTTATGTCTGTTTGCGTGCAGAAGCAAGAGTGTTTTAGAACCTGTAATGTAGAGCTGTGCTTTCTTGTCAGAACTCATTCCTCTTTCCAGTCTTTTAGGTATTGCCTGATTGCTCTCCTGAGGGGAGGTTCTCATTTGTCTTCCACTACTGCAGTGGTTCTCAACATTCCTAATGTTGCCACCCTTTAACACAGTTCCTCAGGCTATGGTGACCCCAACCATAACACTATTTACTGACTGCCTCATAACTCTAATTTTACTACTGTTAGGAATCATAATGTAAATATCTGATATGCAGGATTTCTGATATGTGACTCCAGTGAAAGGATCATTTACACCCCCACCTCCCCACCCCCCGCCAAGGAATCACAACACCCAAATGGAGAACCATTGAACTAACAGGATGTAGTAGGCCAGGCTGTACTTCCTACTAAGTGTGAGGCTTTGACTGGTTTAGATGTCTCTGCTGTTCAGTGGGTGTGAAGTGGGATATTTGAGTGGTTTTAATTTTCATGGGACTGACTTCAAGTGAGCGTGGGATACGTGTGCCTGTGTGTTGATCACTCATGCTGTCTGAATTGTCTCTCCATAGAGGCTTCACAGTTTTATGGTGACTTCTCTTTTTCTACTGGTTATGGAATTCAATATTTGTTTTTGATAACAAGGTTTTGTCTGTCTCATATTGTTCTCTGTTGCTCTCAGTCAGTTACTATGGCTTTGAATTTACTTAAGAATGGTGTATTTGTTTGAGGATAAGTTTTCAATGCTTCTAAGGAGCTCAAAGAATTAACTTGTTCTTTGTAGATGTGTATTTCTTGTATTGTTTTTGAGACTATATTCAAAATCAATTTCAAAATCAGAAATATTTTATACCCTTTTTAACATTTTATTTTTCATATTTTAGACACTACTCCATCTGAATTTTTATATTGGTTATAATATTAAGCAGTACTGCAATTTAGTTTATTTTTCTGAATTTGGAAAGTCAATTACCCAAGATCATTTTGAATAGTCAATCCTTACTTTGTGGTGTGCATTTGTTTGTTTTCTGGACTTGAAACAAGGACTTTAAAAATTCTAGACAAACACTTTACCTTTGCACTACATTCTCAGGCCCTCTCTGGATGTTTCTAGATATTCCATCTAATACTGTATACAACATGTGTTCTTATGCATGTACATGTCATTTTGGATGTCTCTGTTCTTTACTACAGTTTAACTTGGCTATGTAATAAACCTTGATATTAGGTAGGTCTACGTGGCTCTGACAGGCCCTCAAAGGACTTCAATACAACTTTAATAATACTCAATAACACCTACTACACCATTATTTAATGAGGAAGATAGTAAAGATATATTTGAAAAGATGTACTTTTTGTTTGCTTTTACTGAAACACACTGAAGTATCTGTGAAGCATTGCAAAAAAAAATGTTTCAGTTGTGGGATCACTAGTAAGTTGCCCAATACCTCTATAAAAAACCTTATAGCCATGCTTGAGATAGGATATCAGTGAAAGCTGGAGGGAGATGAAAGAAATGTAATGGGAGTAAATACGGTCAAAATACTTTATATATATATATATATATATATATATATAAATATATATATATATATATGAACATATAATGAAACCCGTTAGTGTGTTTGATTACATATGCTAATAAAAAACTGAAAAATGGGGGGTGGGCTGGGGGAAAGGGGAGGGGGGCAGGAAGGGGGAGAACAAGGGAATCTGTGGCTGTTATATAGAACTGAATAGTATTATAAAATAAAATAAAATAATAAAAAAAACTGAAAAAGAAAAAATGCTCAAAATAAGTTGAAAATTTTACAATACACATTTGCTTTGTGTAGCTGAATCCTACTGAAACACAGAGATGTACAGTTGTTTGGTGACTTTAGATAACCAGCTTAGATTTGAAGGTAAAGAAAACTGGTTTTCTGTGTATCGGAGAATCAGACAGAATACAAAAGATAGATAATTATGACGATTTTGTTTTTCCGGCTCACAGATATGTGTTGCGGTAGAGAGGGCTGTTTCAGAAGTTGCTTGAAGCACGGTTGTTTCACACTGGCGTGGACTGTGCAGGGGATGTTTGCATTCTCAAGTTCTATGGTCTGATGTGTGGGTTTTCCCTTTAGACACACGTTCCTCCCTTCTGGCTCAATGAAGATCACAGAGACTCGCGTTTCAGACAGTGGGATGTATCTTTGTGTTGCCACAAATATTGCTGGGAATGTGACTCAGTCTGTTAAATTAAGTGTCCATGGTGAGTACAGAAAGGCCAGCTTTGTCCACTGGCCCACAGTGCAGCCTATGTGACAGTGAACCTCTACGCTGTATGTAGACTAACTAAAGAGTGCTGAACTATTGGAATGTTTGGAATGTGGTTTTTTTTCTGTCCTCTGAAAGGCCTGTTATCTATCGACAAATTAATTATATTTTAGGATCTCAGTTTTTCTAGATGTCTGGTCATTTATCTCTATTGCTGTTTATGTACAGTGGAGAGAAATGTGTTTAAAATGTTGAGAGCTGGCTGTATTCTCACAGAACATGATACTTTTTAAATAGTCACATTTGGCATATAAAGAACCTGGTAACTGAGAAAAGACTTCTATCATTATTTGAGGTCTTCACACTCCTCTAACTGAGGTGTTTTAATCTACCACAGTCCACCAATTAATTATTCTTCCCTTCAGTGCTGATTATCTGTCTCCATGTCAGGTATTGCGTAAATACCAGACATCTAAATATCAGAGGAAGGCCGAGCGGTGGTGGCGCACGCCTTTAATCCCAGCACTTGGGAGGCAGAGGCAGGTGGCTCTCTGTGAGTTTGAGGCCAGCCTGGGATACAGAGTGAGTTCCAGAACAGGCTCCAAAGCTATACAGAGAAACCCTGTCTCAAAAAAAAAAAAACATATACTAGAAGATTTGCAGTCACATTTAAAGTCACTATCTTTGATGATACATTGCCAACATTTCAGATATTTGTTTTCCT